GTCAGGGTGGTTGAAGTCACCCATGAGAACAAGGGCCTGCGAGTGTGAAGCTTTTCCTATCTGTCTATGGAGTGCTTCATCCACAGGTTCTCCTTGATCAGGCGCTCTATAACAGATCCCCACAGTAATGTCTCCCATAGCTATATTCCCTTTAACCCTGACCCACAAACTCTGTTAACTGCTTAGTCTTCCAACAATACTGTCTTGAAAACCCTATTCAAAAGTCCCCATAGAAAAATAAACTTTACAAAGAAACTCAGGCTTTAGAATACAGGATGCACTCAACCTTACAAAGACTGATCTCTGAGAAGGCAGCTGACAGCTATATTCTCTGAGCTGTCTGCTAGCATATCTTATGAGAGTTTACTTGATTAGGAGAAGTGCCTTCGATGTTCTTCACTTCAGAGAATTTGAGTTGTCCAAGCCTCCCAGGTATACCCTAAAACTTGGTGCTCATTGAATTCAGCAGCCACCCAGTATAATGGGAAGAGACTACCATCACAGGTGATTCAATGATTACTACCCACTAGTTTGGTATGCAGCTTATGAAATGATGTAGATCACCATGTCAAAACTTACATACTGACAACATCTGTAAGTGTAAAACAGAGGCCAAAATTCCTTTTAGCTCAAACAGAAGGTTAATGTGGCTAATTAGCAGCCAAGGTCTGGGAAAGATGGGCAAATCCTTCTTAAACAACATTGTGATAGAGCCCGCTTTTTATTTTTTAAAGATTGTGATAACCATACCTTCATTGGAAGACTTGTTCTAAAGGTTCATGCTAAAATACTAATGTGTGCTAGGCTTTCACCAGCCTTCTAATACATGAAGACAAGGAACTGGATATACATATGCTATATTTATCACATTTAAGCTGAAGTGTTCAGCTTCTGGAAATCAGCATAGAAGACTACACCCTGGTCAGTGTTAGCAGCTAACATAGGTAGACTGCATCATTTGCTATAAGATTAACTAGAAAATTTGCTTTTTCCTGTGTTTCCTAGTCATGGAGAATCTAGAAGTGATTTCTGTACAGCAAATGTGAGTAGCCATGATGTTAACTAATGCGGTTTCTCTTCAGAGTGATCATGAGCACGCATCAGAACTAGCTGTCTAGCTTCTGCCTGCTGTACAAAGGATACATTCTCTCTGAAGAGATCTGTTTTCAGATCTGTTTCAGGAGAGATGAACTGGTATCTCTCTGCAGTATACCTGCCATGCTTTCCATGTCAATAACTTAATATCAGTCTTGTACCACCTCTTCAGGAAGGATGCTGAAGTTCTCCAAAACTCCAGAATTGCAGCCGCTGTCATTTAGCAGAGAGTTCGGTTTCCATGAGCAAAAGTGACAGCACCTATTACTCATTCAGACCAAACTTTAAGAACTGCACATCAACAGCAAACTCCATTGCATGAACTTTTAACAAAGGAAACCTAGGAAAAGAAAAGAAACCTCACTTTTTCACTTAAGACTGAACTGGATTGCACTGATTTGCAGCCCCTGTTCTGCCCTGGAAGAGAAGTGGTGTACCCCAAGGGCTGCCTTTCTTCTTGTAACCCATAGGAAAGAGACCACAGAAGCTTGTGTGACCTCCCATATTGCAGATAGGATACAAACAAAATACATATATTTATTATTTATATTATATATTTTGATATATATAAATAAAATATAACATTTTATTGCTGTTTTAGACATTCAAATTCAGACATCAAGACTGAGCTTGGTTTTCTTCAGTTCCAGCTCCAGAGGATGTTTTCAGGAGTCTTATTGCCACTGTCTACAGTGCAGCAGAGCTCAGTGCTATGATTTCATTTCGTAAGGACCATTGTGGACTTTAAAAGCCTAAATCTGCACCCAAAGACTTTACACTGTCCTCTCTGGTCCAGTTCAACAAAGTCCTTATTAACAGAGGAGAGAGCAAAAAAGCTGACAGGTCCCATCAGTGCAGCGCAGTTCTTTTCAGCAGGTTTCCATTCTACCATCCACAGGTATGGATGCCCATAGTAAATCAAGATCTAGATTACAACCAAGATTCAAGTCCACTTGCAGAGCTCACTCATACCAGTGGTGGCCCACTTGTAACAAAGCCACTTTTATACTCCAGACAACTTCTCAAGGCTCCTTAGAAAGTACTTTTAGGTCATCTTCAGGCCTAGATTCAGTGGAACATTACACAAGCTTTTATATAACTGCTTTTACTGTGGTCTTTGGTTTTCAAGAGATGGGAAAAAGTAGCAAGGATTGCCACTGTCTTCTTGCTGCTTCCTTTGGAGTCCTAGTTCCTACTGCTTCAATTGCTGGCAAGGTGAATCTCTATAGTGCTTCTGCCAAGCAGAATTACTGCTGTTGCCTCATGGTCTGATAAACTGTTAGTAAACTTCCACCCTTCTCTCCTAGCCATTTTATAAGGAGCTTCAGATTATCTTCTGGGCACAGCTACTGTGTTTTCATTCCACGTCAGATACAGGATGATCTGATTTTCCTCTAGCCAGATAAAACACTCCAACAACTGCTTTAATTAAAAAAAGAAAATCTTTTACTTACATAAAACAAACAGAACAGAGGAATCCAAGCCATTACAGAGGAAACAATACACTCCTTTAGATCAGGCATAAGCATTTTTCTACCCCTTCAGATCAGGGAAAATCCCTTCCTAACCAGAAAAGGTCCATTGCTCCTGCAAAATTATGTTGGAACCTCTGCCAGCTTTGCTCATTCACTTCCAAGAGTCTTACTTCCTCTCTTCCTGCGGGTAGAAGCCCTACAGAAGTCTGTTACATACTGCTCCTACCTCTTGATTGATCCTCTAATAGCCGTACTCTACCAATGCAGAGTTAGCTACTTTGGTAAAGCAACCTGTATGCTTTTTATCCCAGCTCTCACACATTGCTTCAATTAAGCAGTAAGTGACCATAAGGACGGAACTAGAAGCACTACAAGTGCTTAGCTTGGAGTTGGATGAAACTGATAAAGAGAGGCAGAGCTTGTTGGATGAAATGCCACATCTGAGGTTCCTTTTATGCAATTTGTGTGTTCATGAGACATCAGAGTGCCATGACTTCAGTAATATGGCAGTATTGCAACATACAAGCCAAACTAACCCAAAGCATGTTGTTCTGCAATGCTGCAAACATGATGACACAACTTTGGGAGGAGGAATGATACCATCACAGCAAAACTCAGTCTCTGAAGACTGGATGGGCCTTAGAAGTTTATGTGTACATGTAGTGGTTTAAGAAAGGTCATCCGATTTCCCTTCAAGCAATGATAACAGATGTTATCTTTGAGGTTTTAGTCCAAAATGTTTGTAAACTAGACAATGCAGATTTATTTGCATCAAGTGATCTTATAAGACATTAGTGAAGTCAGGCTTTGTTTCTCAAAATATGTGCAAATTCAATAGTTATCAGTGCTGTGTTTATTATTTTAGTCTATTACTAATCCTTAAGAACACTACAACTATTATATGCCGAGTGCAATGGCCACTAACTGAATAAGGCAGATAAAGTGTATTTAGAATTACCTATCCAAACATGTACTTTAGAAAGGCATACGTAAGTTTCACAATTAGGAGATTAAAATGTTAAGCCTAGAGAGAAATAAACCATTTTCTTGAGATCTCTGGTACCTGGTTTTGTCTTAGTTCAATCACACCAGAGAGCTGGGTCAGGTTTGAGCTTTGTTTAGAAATTTGCCTGATAATTAAATGCAAAGGCTGTTAAATATATATACCACCATTTTTCCACTGTGCAAGCATAAATTATTTCCTGTAATAAATTTCACTGTACATGTTACTAGGCTGTATATAGATCAGAAATGGATATTTATAATTAGCCTGTATTTGTCTTCACCTCTATCTTTGTTTCCAAGGGTTGCTATGGATAACTGTTCTTCCACCTCCCATGTTCCCATTTTGCAGGTCTTGTGAGTCTCACAAGGATGGATCCTCTCTTCCATAGCATTCAATAGTTATAAAATGACCCAGTGAAGCAACCTAGGTAAGAATATGGGCAACACTGCAGTAAGTAGTACATCTTCTTGCCATTAAACCTTAACAAAAGCATACTGCAGCCTTTCTGTGCCTTCCTAGGGCAGCTGCCTCAAGCAGTGTGGGCAAACTGAAAGATATGCTAACAAGAGAAACATTTTCAGGAGTTTGCTTCTTCTCTAAACTCCTATTTCCTGGGAATGTTAAAATTTATACTAAGAATTATGCCCAATAGTTACGAATGACAAAAACATCCACTGTCATTTACAGTAAGCCAAGGTACCATATCCCATTTCCTTCAAAGGATGCTGCTCCAGGAATCCATTTATGGATTGATTTACTTCCACGCATATCTGGGAATGGTAAGAACTGCAATGAAATACGTGCTAGAAAGTATTTCTGCCTAGCAAGCAAGACTGCTTTCAGCTCAGCACTTCATGCTTTGAGAAACTGTTTTATCAAAGAGAGAGCGACGACCCCGCGCCGGGGCGGATGGAAAGCCGCAGATCCAGGCCGTGGCTGGAGCCGCAGTGGCAGCCTGGAGCCGCTACCCAAGCCAGAGGAAAACGAGAGAAGGGAGAGGAGCGCTGCTCCCAGCCGGAAGCCCTGGCCCGGCAGGGCTCCCAGTCCTCGTCTCTCTGCGCATCTACCCTCGTCCCCTTGTCCGCCCGCATCCCTCTGCTCACCTCCCCAGGGCCCCATGTCCACCCGCATCCCTGTGTTCTGCTGCACCCTCCTGTCCTCCCGCATCCTTCTGCACGTCTCCCCCCGTGACCCTTGTACCCCGCATCCCTGTGCACACCTCCCCTGTTCCCCCGCCCACGGACGCTCGCAGCTTCTGCTCCGTATTCCCCCACTCCGAAGACCCGCTCCGACCCCGCTCCCCGCAGCGCTGCGCGGTTCCGCCTGTCCCCCCGCGGTGCCAGCGCGGAGAAGGGCGGCACAGAGCAGTGACGTCAGAGTGGAGGTTGGGTTGGGGGGGTGTAGGGGACAGCGATGCCGTTGCTATGACGTCATCATGCTGCCGTCCCCACGCGGGACGGGCGCCAGGAGCCGCGGGTGCCACCGCCCGCCCGGAGCCGGAGCCACCCCCGGCGCAGCGCAGCGCAGGACCGGGCGGGGCGGGGCGGGGCGGGTCCGGCGCAGAGCCGTGGCCGGGTGCGCTGGGCCCGGGCAGCCGCGGTGGCAGCAGCTCTGTCGGCGGCGTGATGCGGATGGCGGTCGGTGCGGCAGCGGGCGATGGGGCAGCGCAGAGCCCCGGCCCTGCCGCCGTGTCGCTGGGCTTGAGCGTGGCCGTGGTCTCCAGCCTGGTGAATGGCTCCACCTTCGTCCTGCAGAAGAAGGGGATCGTGCGGGCCCGAGGGAGAGGTAGGGGTCCGGCGCTGCGGTGGCGGCTCCACAGCCTCCCTCTGCACCGGAGCATCGTCCCCCGCACCTCCCCGGAGGCCGCTCCAGCCCCTGGCACCCTGCGCAGCCCCCGCGGAAGGGCCGCGGCTGCCCCTCGCTGCGGCGCGGCCGACCCGGGCGAGGAAGGGTTATGGGGGTCGGACGATGCGGGGTGAGGCGCTCCCGGGTCGCGGCAGGCCCCTGCAGCAGGGGGCACCGTCCAGGCGCTGGACCAGGGGAGCCGGCCTCAGTTGGTCACCTTAAGCGTGTTTGGCATCAGAGGTCGGTGACTGGAGCGCGGTCGGCGTGAGGGATGTGATGATAAATTACGGAGGGGGCGGCAGGTGGAGGGCGGTGAGGGTGTATTAACGTGGACAGCAGCAACAGCTTCCCGATGAATGTATGGCCAGCTGACTGGTCTTCATCACGCCGTAACACAACAGCGGGGCTCGTGTGTATGCGTGTGTGTCCATACACAGGTTTCTCTTGCGGCATTTTCAGGTACTTGTGGGACTTTTCTACCCATTTCTCTGGCTGAGCTAGTTTCTTGCTATGAGCAGCACCAGCACGGCTTGTCAGTTGTTTATTCTAGCTCTTCCACACGGACACACACATGGCAAGTTACATCAGTCATGTGGCGGTTTCTTTTTGTAGAGAAGAAAGGCACAGCAATAACACGAAATCAGTTCTTTGTTTTATTTTTCATGCAGAAATCCCATAAGTCATTACTGTTTCCCAAGACAAACATATTCAGGAACTTACTGTGCTGCCTAGACAGTATAGCCAAAATGAAGCTGTAAATTCACTGACTGTAAAGATCATCTGGTTTTTATTCTGAAATTTGAGCTTCTCCAAAGCATGTAACTTCTGAACAGCCCTTGCCAGTTGCATCTTGATGCTTTGAATATGGAAAAATGCAATGTATTTATTTGTTCTTAGTGTCATGCATTTATGTGAGGGGAGCACTCTAAACACAGGTTGCATGAGGCCTTTTAATTGTATTTATATGGTTAATAACCATTTGATTTGTAGGTGGTGTCTGTGCGTGTGAGCACATGCCCATAGGTTCTAGGAACTCTTCCTTATGAAAAATCCTTTTTAGTGACCAGGACATGCTACGTATTTTCTCTGTATATGTTTGTATGTAAATACACACAGATACGCGATTCTATGCATGTCTTTGAGGTGGTTACTGTTACAGCAGCAGTGCATTTCCAGTGCCCACTGCATCCAGCCTGTAGAGCAAGCTTGCACCTATATTACTACCAGCTGTCAGCCTGAGCTAACAAGTTTGTCTTTCCTGCAGTGACCTTACAGTAAAGGGCCTCAGCCAAAGTACTGTTGTGGGAGCACAGTCTTTCCCTCTGAGATGTCTGTAATCTAATTTTATTGTCCACAGAGAGATCACATTTGCATCATAAATACAAATATTGTTTTGTAAGGTAAGCAATGAGAAGCCTCGAGAGAAAGGAACTGCTTTCCATCCCAGGGCAGTTGGAGGAAGTTTCCATTTTGCAGTGTAGTTGGGTCTAATCATTCCTGAAGAGCTTTCAGTACAGCACTGGGTTAAGTGAGTGATGGGCATGTGCCTGCCTGCCTTCTCAGTGCTGGTAGCTCTAAAACATCCTGTTTTGAACATATTACTGATGTTTATTTGTGTATCTTGCTGAGCAATCTGTAGTATTTCCTATGGCTGTGCTCAGTGTGGAGACGTCCAATACCCCAGGTTTCTCTCTCTTTAATGTTGTGAATTAGTGAGGTCCTGCCTCGAATCTGATGGCCAAAGGTGTAAGCCCAAGGTAGTGTCAGATGATGTCTTCTTTTTCCATTGCCTTCAGTAGGTGTTGCATAATTTACAAGGAGGCAAGGAGTCTTTTCTGTCTTCTCTATTGAATCAATGTAGTACCAATGCGATTAGTAATCCTGGCTCAGTTAGCAACAGCAGTGGGTGACAAATGTTTTGCAAAGTTACCTTACTTGAGTCAATATTTTCTATAATTTGTGCCCCCAACAATGTTTTTATTTTATATACAGTAACAAAAGTCTAAAAAATTATTACGCCCACTCTAAAGCTGGCCATCTTCATTAGTCACTTTCCATCTCATTTAAATTATATAGTGTGATTTCCAAGCGCTTAATATTTTATACATCTCCAGGGTTATGGATTCCTGTGTTTTTCTTTTGTTTTTCGGGATTTCGGAGTATTGTTCCAGCAGCTCTTGAGAGAACATCTTCACAGATAAATGCAGAGCTGAATTGCTAGAAAGAGGAGCAGAACACGAGAGCATAGCATGATGCCAGGGTGGCACCCGGCAGAGCCCAGGCTTTAGTTTCGTAAGCGGTCATTAGCCTTGATGTTCTACAGAAGCAGAACATACAAAACGCTGGGCATCGGCTCCCCTGGTGCATCCCAAGTCAGAAGCCTATAATCTGACAGTGAAAATAATCATTCTTGATCTTGGGAGGCACTCGGGGATGATCCAGAGTTTTTACTCCTCTCTTTGAAATGGGTAGTATGTCAGGAATTCAGAGGCTTCAGTCATAGCACTTTGTAATCCTCAAATGCAGGAGGATCAGTACTGCCAAACCTCTGTACCAAAGCAATTTGTCTGCTACAGTTTCTTCCATATAATTTTATTGAGATTAAATTAGTGAACTAATTGATCCAAATCATGTTTTGTTTCATAGGTTTCCTGTTCTCCTAATATCGGTTCTAATCTGTACGCTTAAATGTCATCCTCAGAAGTATCTGTTGGCATTTTGCTCTTGTATGTAACACCGTGTTTACCACCACATAGGTACTTCTAGAACTTCTGACTAATATATTGCCTTGGGAAAATCTAACTCTGACGCTTAGACCAAAGCCAAGCACACTCTCTTTATTTACTCACACTCAGTTGCGTTGAAGAATGGGGTTAAGATGAAGGTCATTAATAGCTGAGACTGTTGAAGTTATTCTGTTTTGTAGTTCCAATATTGCAAATTCATATTTTCCTAATATATCTTCCTGTACTTCCTCTTCCAGGTACTTCGTACTTAACAGATATAGTATGGTGGTCTGGCACTATTGCAAGTAAGTATTTTTAAAGGTTTAATTTTTATTGACACAAGTTACACTTAGATGGTGAAACAAGACATCAGGAAATCTGGGTTCTCATCTTGAATCTCATGCTCATTTGTCACAAAATTTCTTTCAGAAATACCCCACCTTTAGTAAACTCTCACTCTGGCTACTGTGACAGTCTTTGAGAAGGCAAAGAGCTGGGACAAACCTGAGTCAGACAGCTTTCCCCATTTCTGAACTGTTTGGTACTTGCAGCCCTTGGCAGCCACACTGCTCTGACTCTGATTTCCCCTACGGTTTGTGTCTCTTGATTGAGCTGGTCTTCTGAGTTTCTAATAAAAGTCAAAGCTGAATAAGAGAATGTCACTCTGCACAAAAGGGCTCGTTGAGCATATGTTATTTTTTAGATCAGAAAGCACTTTGCCAGCCTTGATTAATTAAAAAATAAAGTCTTTTTGATTTCTAGTTCAACAGATACAGTTTCAGTTTTGCTTTTAATCCACAAGATTAATGCGAAGCCTTGTGTGGTGCTGATATGAGATCAGTGTAATTTTACTCTTATCTTTGGAAACTCGGCTCACACTAAGTTCACTCTCTAATGTGAACCCTGAGCATAGGGAGCAGCTAGCTTTCTCATCTTGCAGTTCAGCCCTACTTCTACCCATGAGCTTAAAATCATACTCCAGTTTTAGACTCCAATCCAGCCTTTTGTGAATTATTTGGAAATGTTCTGATGCTGTTTCTGAGAAGTGTATGAGTCCAGTTGTGCCCCTGATTTTGTGGCAGCAAGGGAAATCTCTGTTTTTATTATCTTCAAGCAATGCAAAAGGAAAGGAAGCAGACTGGTATGTTGAAGGACAAAGTTCATAGCAAGTGTAGAAGCCAGCAGAGCTTCAGAGGAAAATCCTCAGCTAATTTAACCTGAGTTTAAGTAGTTCTTCCAGCTTCCTCCTCTGCCAGGATTACTACTACTGCAAATAGGAGCAATAAATCTGTGCATTAATCATAGAATCGTTAGGGCTGGAAAGGACCTTAAGATCATCACGTGCCAACCCCCCTGCCGTGGGCAGGGACACCTTATGCTAAATCATATCACCCAAGGCCTCCTCCAACCTGGCCTTGAACACCGCCAGGGATGGAGCATTCACAACCTCCCTGGGCAACCCATTCCAGTGTTTCACCACCCTCACAGGAAAGAATTTCCTTCTTATATCCAATCTAAACTTCCTCTGTTTAAGTTTCAACCCGTTACCCCTTGTCCTGTCACTACAGTCCCTAATGAAGAGTCCCTCCCCAGCATCCCTATAGGCCCCCTTCAGATACTGGAAGGTTGCTATGAGGTCTCCATGCAGCCTTCTCTTCTCCAGGCTGAACAGCCCCAACTTCCTCAGCCTGTCTTCATACAGGCGATGCTCCAGTCCCCTGATCATCTTCGTGGCCCTTCTCTGGGCTTGTTCCAACAGTTCCATGTCCTTTTTATGTTGAGGACACCAGAACTGCACACAATACTCCAAGTGAGGTCTCAGGAGAGCAGAGTAGAGGGGCAGGATCACCTCCTTCGACCTGCTGGTCATGTTCCTTTTGATGCAGCCATCACTGCTGTTTATCTTGTGAGGCTCCCATCTTGAATCTCTGAGCAGAAGGAGTTAAAAAAAGAGAGGTTTTATTACAGGAGTTTATCTTGGTGAATCAGAGAAAACGATTTCATGCTTAAAAGAGCTGACTGAATTGCATGAAGGCAAACAGCTCAAGGGAATGGTATCAGTTGGCTTTTGTCCAGTAGCCAGGTGCAGGTATTTCAAAACAAAGCCTCAGTAAGTTTACAAAGGAATCAAGGGAAGAATTGCTTAAGGATAGTATATAGGTTCAGAATTGCAACAGAGTCATGAACAGCAACAGCAAGGGCCAGGTAGACATCTCTGGGATGCAGAGAAAGGCAGTGCCCAGGGAATTAGCAATATCCCCAGTTATCTGGGTAAAATTGTAACAGCTGACATGGTTTTCTCTGGCAGGGAATTTGGAGTCTGGATGACTAACAAAACCCACATAAACTCTACCAACTTGTTTTCACAATATTTGTTCCGATGGTGACCAAGCATTTCTGTGTTGGCATGCTGACTCAGCATAACACTGCCTAGCCATTTTGGGGCCTTGGGATCCACTGGATTACTGAAGACTGCAAAGGAAAGGCTACAGATTCTGCTAGGGATTTTTTCTTATGCTATAGTCAAAAGAGTGATTGCAGCATGTGCACAGGTATTTCAGTGAGCATTAAACTAATTAATTGGCTAATTAATTAGTTTCAGTGCAGTTTTGATGGCAGTTTAGATGTGACTGACTTTTATAGTGGCTACATCTATGCTAGTGTTTTATTGCAGATGGGGAATAAATTTGCCAAGCAAATCTCCTGTTTATCTCCACAGGCTGGGCTTTATTTCATGTTGTAGAGCAGTGTTGGAGCTCCTGAACTTGACTTTAAGATGAAACTGGGCTGAACATGCCTAATGCACACCAGCTGCAAACAGATTTTCAGCCTATGGGAGCAGGCAGAAGTTAGTCTGAAATAAAGCTCCTGACATGTGTAGAGCAGACATCTGCTCCTGGTCGTCTATTCCTGTCTTCTTGCTGATGTAGATGTGTCAGTGTGCATCAAGTTTTGTGTTGCAATAGCTTCAGGAATATTGGTACTCCTTTATCAGGTTTAAAGTTTGGTGTGTCTTCAAGAACTGAAGCCATGCCTTGACTTACAGCACTGATGTATCTGGAGAGGAATTTCTATCCAGAGGGGACTGTATAGGTTGGCAGCAAAGGTCTCAACATCGGGTAGATGGTAACAGTTACTGAGAATCTTTCTTCTTTTTTTAATTGGTTTTAATTAGCCCCAGTCTGTGACGTGTAATGGTGAGAGACAGTTAGTATTAATCCATGGTGATACTGAAAACCTCTGGTAAGATCAGTTGCCTTACAATACATGCAGATTGAAGCTTTAGAGACCTCAGTGTTGGTGCTATCTGTTAAGGTTCTTCCAACAGAAAGTTAAGGCACTGGACCTCCAAAACCAAAAAGCAACTTTTTGTCAGAGTCACTTGGAAGTATATATAATCTGCAGAAACATGGTGTGCCAGCTATGCCCTGTCCTCTGTGCAAGATCTGGCCCAGTTCCTTTAGATGCCTTGAAGATAATGCCAGAGTTGCCACATATGTCTGCAGAAAACCAAGCCGGAGGCTGACAGCTGAGTTACTCTGTTCCCAAGGGCAGGAAGACCATGACTGACTCTCTGCTCTAGAAATGCTGCTCATTAACCTCTCTGGCTCAGTCCTGCCTGTAGAGACAGCCTCAGAGAATTGAATTAGTGTAATTTTGCCACACTCTGCAGTTTTGTAAGTTTGTTTGTCTCCTTTGTTTCCTGTAGGTTACACAGGTCTTCAGCACTACTGATAATGTGAGCTAATTTGGTAAATTAATTAATGCTTGCACAGTGCTTCCAAGGTGTAGAGACAGGATGATGGTAACAACATTTGATAGTCGAGGGCAATGCCAGCCTGAGCATAAAGACAGCTTGGCTTCTTGAAATATTTTTAAATGCTGTTAATGGCTCTTGCTATCAACTGGGAATTTGAGCGGTGCAATTTGTGTTGAATCTCAAGGGTCTTGCCAGTTACCACAGACCCTGTAACTATGTGAGCATCGTGTTGATCTATCATAAACTTGCCAGCACTTGCAAAACCATCCAGCTTTTCTCTTTCAGCTGAGAACTCGAACGCATGAGTTGTTTATCACAGCCGTGATGTGCAATAGTGAGGTACATCTTGGAATTTGCTTTCATTGGGAGAAAGAATATAATAAGATTGTGAGGCTGTTACTGTGACTTGTCAGGGATCTGTTCTTTTTACATTGGTCAGGAATTACTTTTGATGTTATATAGCGTTGTGAAAATGTAATATGGTCTATTGTGTATTGAAGAGCCCTTGTGCCTGTGCTTAGTATTTCATTAGTGTATTCCTTTCCTCAGTATTCTCCTTATTTCCCATCCAAAAGGTAACACTGCTGTTAGGGACTATAACCAAGTGCATTCGTGTTACATATATGCATGTTCCGAAGATGAAATCATGGGTTATATATACTTTTAGTCCTCCTTATTTAAGTAGTTGAGTGTAATATTGAGATATTTGAATGTAATGCATTGTTGTTTCTTATACTCAACTAAGAAAAGCTGCAAATGAGATTATTTACTGTGCTCTCTTGGATCTTCTTGTGTGGCAAATATAAACCCTATATTAAAAAATAATTGAAAAATACAGAAAAATTCCATCCGTTTTGTTCAAGTTCAACATTATCAGAGCTAAGCAAATCTGTAACATCTGGTTTCCAGTTAGGTCATCTTTCCCAAACAGCATTGGGTAAGTTTTCATTGCTCCTTTTTACAAAGGGATTTAAAACTTACTTCTGGTTCCGTTCACAGTGGCTCTTGGTCAAATAGGGAATTTCTTGGCTTACACTGCAGTCCCAACTGTGCTAGTGACGCCCTTGGGAGCTCTTGGTGTTCCATTTGGGTAAGAGTTTGCTTTTCTTGCTCTTAATCTGAATGCTGTTACTACTTTATGAAATGTCAGATAGACTCAGTGGTCACTGGAGGTCCACTGACATGTAAGGCTTATGACTGTTAGTGGTGTTTTATAATGTAACCTATTCCCATTTTCCTAAGCAAAGTGGTGGAGGTCAGGGGTAGAGGGAAGGCAGTGGTGAAGAAGGGTTCTTGAGTATCTTCTGCTTTAACAATCACTATGATCTGGAACAGATAAATGTGTTTTTTTTTCCCCTCCTCCCTTCACTATGTTATTCTGGACTTTTCTGCCTTTTCTCTTATTCACAGTTCCCTTACTATGTAGATCTTTCCTTTTGTCCCACATTCTTTCTCTCCCCTGCTATCCACAGCCCACATGTGTTTATTGATGTTGATTGTCATTTAATTGGATTTGGCCTCTTTCCCTAAGCAAGGGAGTCCCTTGCATACACATGCCCCCAGCTTCTTGAATGTTATGTTCATGGGGGAGGGTGGGGAACAAAAAAGGCAGTGAGTTTAAGGAGTTTAATATGCAGCTAAATGTTTTGTGAATAGCTAAACTACAGCTGTGAAACTGCTCCAGTGAAAAAGTACAATTCTTTGAAAACAAAGCTGTGTGTTGCCTCCAGATTTTTCTTTTGCCTTCTGAATTGTATATCTGACTGCACTGGTCATCTGCTTCAGAGCGTAGAAGTAGATGACCAGTGTAGTAGTAGAGTGTATTGCTTTGTACAGGCTTCATGGTTGTCTTTAGTTTTATACACTATGAAGCATGCTGATGTTGCTTTACTTGCCATCTGTTATTTTATCCTATGTCACATAATTTTGTGTATTTTGGTCAGCCACATGTCTGAGCTGAGCCCTGTGATCTTTGTAACCAAGTCACTTTTATCTCCTGACTATATAGCATCTATAAAACGGGGCTTCGTGACAGCTCACCAAATTGTTAATGAGTAGATACCAGCCTTGGGTGACAAATCTACGGTTTGCAGGTTTCTTTGGAGGGGGTCATGTGGTGGTGGTTTTTGAGGTGTTGGGGTTTTTGTGGTTTTGTTTGGGTTGTTTTTTGTTTTGGATATATTGGGATTTGGGGGAAGAGAGGAGGGAGTGTTGTTTTGGGTTTTTTTTTCCCTGAGATGTTGTTTTGGTTTTTTTTCTTCCTGAGATGAGACATCAAGGATAAGTAATACTGTAACTGGATAAATCTTTCTTAAGATAAGCCAAATTAATTTTGAGGATGTGTCAGTATTTGGTCAAAGGTCCACCAACATTTGAGACTATTTGATACTATTCCTTTAAGAGGGAAATTCATGTGGCACATACTGTTACAGCATTATTAACAGGATGTAGTCAAACTTTTAATTTTCTTCCTCTTTGTGAAAGGTCTATTTTAGCTTCTTACTTACTGAAAGAAAAACTGAACATTCTTGGCAAGCTGGGATGTTTGCTGAGCTGCGCTGGGTCTGTTGTTCTCATCATCCATTCCCCAAAGTCTGAGAGTGTAACGACTCAGGCTGAGCTTGAAGAGAAGCTTACAAATCCAGGTACTTTATTCTTTTATTAACTCATAATGGTTTTGTAAGACTGGTCAGGAGCATGCAGGAGGAAGAGATTTACCACTTCTTCCAGATAGGAAAACTGACTTGAAGAAACCATGACATGTCAGAGGCAACCCAGTACAGCTTTTGTATAGGAAAACTATGCCTTGCTGTACTTGAAACTCTTCAGATTTATTGATACATGTGTACAGAAAGGAAAATGTGGGTACTTTTGAAAGCAGAATCCCACACAGCAAGCTCAGAAAAACAGGCATTTCAACTGGTAATTTTCTAAAATTATGAAAAAGTGTATCTTGCTATTTAGAGATGAAAGGTATAATTCTAGGATCTTAAGTTGCTTTATACAAAATAAAAAATACTGATAGTCTTTTGTTCTTTAATTCTGCATGGGTTTGCTGGTTTGCTTTTTTTTTTTCTTATTAAAAGTTTATATTAGATGCCAGTTATGTGCCAAGCAGATTTCTTTGCACAATGAAGGTGTGTAGAAATAGGCCGTTGAGAAATATGCTGAAATGCCTGTTCTGTCTCACAGAGAATGTGAAGTCCCAGTAGCTGCTGGAGCACACATACTAATGCCAGACCCACTTTTATTTTTCTTGCATAAGAGCTAAACTGACAGCTATTGTTATTTCCTTTAATTGCTTTAGGTGAGAGAAACTCGAGCCTAATAACATTAGGTATCCAAAAAATTTGCAAAGAAAGAAAAGAAAACAAATACCCTGGTCTAAATTTTCCATTTCAGTCTGACCAAAATGAATTGGAAATAATTTCTTTAAAACTGTAAAGCATTAAATGATTCTCACCACTCTAATCTGTGAACTGGTGCTATAATGTAAATGATATGGCATCCTGGTTCTTCCAACTGTACCTACGCAACTTGTTCACCTTAATGGGATCCAACTCTATGGTTAAGCTCTTTGCTGCATCCACACACCATGCTTTACTGAACTGATTATGAATGAGGTGTTATCACTTCCGTATGTCGTAGAAGGCTTTAAGGAGGATAGTCTGGGTGGAAGACAGAATAAAATAAAAAAAGCTGTCTTAAATCCAGCTGAGATGTGCAACACTGTGTATTTTACTACATATTTATTTGTTTTACCTGAAGAACATGACAACATCAGTTGCAGACACCCCCAAAATCTCTAAAAGCTCAGTGATTTATTTGGATCTATATTCAATAGCGTATATCTGATTTGCCTGCTAAAATCTTTAAAACATCAAGAGGTTGTACCTCACTATTATTTTCTTTCTGTTTTCCAGTTTTCGTGGGTTATCTCTGCGTAGTGCTGCTAATGCTTCTCCTGCTGATCTTCTGGATAGCTCCAGCTCATGGACCTACTAATATCATGGTTTACATCAGTATTTGCTCTCTGTTGGGCAGTTTTACTGTTCCCAGCACAAAAGGCATTGGGCTGGCTGCTCAAGATATCTTTCACAATAACCCCTCAAGTCAAAGGGCTCTGTACCTCTGTCTGGTACTTCTGGCAGTATTAGGATGTAGCATTATCATTCAGTTCAGATACATCAATAAGGCACTGGAATGTTTTGACTCCTCTGTGTTTGGTGCCATCTACTACGTTGTGTTTACCAGCCTAGTCCTGCTGGCTTCAGCCATCCTTTTTAGGGAATGGAGTAATGTAGGAGTGGTAGATTTCTTGGGAATGGCTTGTGGATTCACCACAGTGTCTATTGGAATTGTTCTTATACAAGTCTTCAAGGAATTCAACTTCAATATTGGAGATTTAAATAAACCTAACATGAAGACAGATTAAAACATTTTTTGAGGGGAAACTGGATGGCTCAGGGAAAGATGCAGAGCCTTTCATTTCTAGGTCACTGATTCAAATGTGATTCAGGTTGGTAGCTATCCTCTGACAAATTTGGTGGCCTATGTGAAATGAATGGGAGGCCTCCATCCAGTTTCAAAGGAACAGTTGTCCATGTACCCTAGTCAACACAATAAATGACCTTAATTGGAACCATTGATTGAGTCAGCATAGAGACTGATGTATTTCCTTACTGTAAAAGGTAATGCATCAGAAAAGATCTGGTGATATTCTGACAGACCTGTGTGTGAAAGCTTGTGTTGTGGCTTCTGAGGTACTGTTTCTGTGGGCAGAGAACATCAGTTTCTAATGCACTCAATCTGACACCTTTCATGAGTGGTGTATACCTTAAAATATGGGGGAAAGGGAAGAAGGGAGTACAACAACTTCTTAGTCTCAATATAGCAATGTGTCCACTGTCAAGGCTGTGGATTCTGAGACAAATGTTGGTTGAACCAGGGACTGCAGATGTGTCCTTCTTAGTGACTGTCTTCACAACTTGGTCTGCCAGGCAGCGAAAACACTCGGGAGTTTTAAATTGAATTCTTATACAGAGCAGTGGACCCTTAAAAATGTTTCACTAATTACTTATCATCTGATGGTAGTGTCCAGGTATACATTTTTCTTTGTAACTTATGTGCGTTAAGACATACCACATTCATCTGAGAGTTTTTAATTGGGAGCCAACAGAAAGACTGTGAAGGATGTGGAAATGATGCACAGATTCATTGCCTATATGGTGGCTTATTCGTAAACAGCTCAGAACTGTTTCAGTGCCTTTGTAATCCAAAACTACTGCGTAAATGTGAATGTATTTGTTTCAGATGGCCTATGCTAGTTTAATAATTCAGTTCTACTGTCTATAATATTGGACTGTATTTAAATTCTAAACACATAAAGCACCCAGAAGAAGCCACACATTTTCGGAACAATTTACCAACCTGAACTAAAACCCTCAGATGCCTTGACAGCTTCTGAAAAACCCATAGTCCTAATGGGAAGAGGTAATCTACAAGCAGACTGCTTAAAGCAATCTAGCATACCTTTATTTTAGTTAAATGACTAAATAGAGGAAACGGTTTTGTGAAGCAACTAATATGCAGGGACCACAAAAAAAAAGAAATATGAGATGAGCATGAGATTTCTCATAGCTCAAAAAAGATGCTCGGAACCTTTCTTTAATGTGGGAAAAGGGCGTTAAAGTCTGAAAAGGCATAGGCATTCTGAGAGCTGAGTTTCAGATAACCAACAGGGAAATCCAGTAATCAGATCCAGTAATTCAGACCTGTGTGAACAGTTCAGCTCTAATATTTTGACAAGTAGCACAGAGACCTTAAGCTCTGAACTGTTCAGATTAAACCATTTAGAGAATATTGATATGCCAAAGAAAATAAAAGTAGTTAATCTTCATGTTCTATTTGGTAGTTAAAACATCACAAGTCAAAAACTTGTGAGGAAAGCTTGAAAAGTAATGAATGTTGTTTTCCATTTAATTACAACAATGGATGGGTACAATGGAACTCAACATCTGTAGTTCAGAATGTTCTTGAAACAAGCAACAAAAAAAAACCCCAACACGTTTACAAGACAGTATTTGAAAAAGCCCATGACACTTTATCAAGGAATGATGAATGTAGCTTTGCAGATGGCTGATGGGAACGTGGAGGTTGATTGATGGGGAGTTACACTGCTCACTCTCAGGATGTCTTTTTGACCTGAATTAATGTCAAAACTCAGCCTCTGTTTTATTTTAAAAGGAATGGTATAAGCTCTTCTAATGGCAGCAATAATCATGAACAGTGACTCCTAAACATCTGGTATTCCAAAGGGACTCCTCTGAGGGAGTAGGAGCCCCACTGTTACTTGGAAGCTTGTTTTATAACTCCAGATTGCAGGGGAATGACTCTGAGTTAGCAGAAACCTATGTTGTTATAGGTCAGCACTGAAGCCGGGTATCTTGGTGAAATAAAGTAGCTCTAGCAGAGAAAGGGCCAGCTTCATGGATTTTCAGACCTTGTGTGTGGTTTCTAGAAAGTTTGAGAATTGTAGATGAGGGGAAGTGGGACTATGAAAGCTGGATAAAAGTAACCTCTGTCAAGTTATTGGTTGGAGAATGGTATCTTGGTTCTCAGCAGGCAGTTAGGTTTTGTCATACTGATTCCCTTTTTTTTCTGATTGAAACTGGAATTGCATATAGGTTGTGAGACCTGTAGTGACCTACTTTTTAAAACAATGTTAGCCATTTTCTGAAGCAATCAAGTTGTCTTTTCAAAATTCAGATTCAGAGTTCGTGAGTTGCCCGTTGGTTTTGTACTAGCCTTTAATCTCGGAAGACATCTGTGAAAATCTTTAGGTCAGAATGGAAATGATTGTGGTTGCATCTTAATCCTCCTTTGGCCATACTTGTTTGTCTTTTTTTGTTTTAAAATTCCTTCTTATTTATTTAGAAAGTGCCTATCCTAGTATGTTAGGTGCATATGCAAATTATTAGTAATATTGAATCCAAAATAACTTGACTGCCCTGTTTAAACCTCACCATTTTCTGCACCACACACAAGTTTACTTGATAAGCACTCACTATGCAGAGTAAGAATAAAGTAGTAGTAGCCGTGTTCTGTGGTCCTCTGACCATCCTTACAGCTGGTAAACGCCTGCATAAGTTTTTCTCCCTGGCTGCTCCTCATCTTTGATGAGCTTTCTAGAAATGTCTAGTTAACTTTGTTTAAAACAGAGATGTCAAAAGCCAGCACATAAGGTGAAAGAAATTCTTGTGGCCTTGTGCATCATTCATATCTGTAGCCTTTTACATCATGAATGCAAAAAACCGAAACCTTTGTTTTTGCTACTTTGTTCAGTTTGTAGCAGTGTTCTTTTGAGTTCTGCTGTACTGCATCTGGTTAAGTTTTAACTTAGAAATGTATTACCACTTTCCATTGTCACTGTCGGCATGATTCTTCCCTCCTCCATTCGTGCCCTCCTCATTCTGATGTCCTACCTTTTTGAGTACGGTTGATTTTCTGATTTAAAAAGAGGCACTGTTGAAGTTGAACTTTATCTGTTTCCTCCTTTTTTTTTTTTCTCTACCCTTTGACAAGTAAGTACTTTGCATAAGACAGATACGAGTTCATCATCTCAGGGAGCAAATGTGCATAGTTGTCTCCTGAGCTTTGGTGTCCCTCATGGGTCTACCCCTTTCACGTTCTCTTTGCATTACATCTGTCAATAGCTATGAGCCAGATACTTCAGTTTTGATTTCAAAGTAGAAGTGGGAGAGGCTATGCATACAAAAAGTGGACTCATCACAGTGGTGGGATGCATCTGAATTAAGATCAAATCCATATGAAAGGCGTTCCACTCTGTATGTCTGGCTTCTGTTATACCAGTCAAACATATTTACTTGGTATTCACTTGAAGATAGCTCTTTGATCATTATCCCTTCAGTGTATGGAGGATTTACATGTGTCAGTCACAGTCTTTATTAGGTGTCAAACACAAAAGTCCCTCAAATGTTCAGTAGGAGAATAGAAACCTTTTTGATACAACCAAGAAAAAAAAAAAAGAAAAAAAAAAAACGATTTGTTACACCTTAAATACCTATGTAAAGAAGAAAAATCTCGAAACAATTTATCTGCTGTACTGACTTTCCAGGACTATGTGTCTGTAAATAGAGCCTACTTATTAGTGAGCTGCAACTAACATTAATAAGAACCTGTCATATCACAGCTTGACAAGTGAGGCTTCCTGTTAATGATCTTGGTTTATATTGAACACACGTATTTTTCTGAAGTAACTAGCACTGAATATTGAAAACACTGGATTAATTTGTTGAAACACTAGAAACTGAGGTTTAGGTTTCCTTTTCATTTAAAAAAATAGAGGGCTTGTATTTAAGAAAGATTTGCAGTTAATAAATATGGGGTGCTCAAATGGGCAGTTATTTGCATGTTGTACCCCTCTAATCTTCCTGTTTCATAAATATAAACCATCAAAAATTCTACAGATCTTCCTCAGTTGTCTTGAGATGGTGTAACTGCTAAACTTTTACTGTTAAATCAAATGTTCATCTATTACCTGTTATCTTTTCTTTACAGAGATTAGTCTTAGTAATAACTCCTTGGTGCTACTAAATATGCACTTAAGTGATGCAGAATTTTAGTGTGTACCATGTTAGGCACCAATTATGTCAACAGTTACTACTACTGGTGCCCAAGTATTTCAGACAACAGTGTTGAAATGTTACAGATTAAGAAATCCTTTTTGAAAAGTTTGGGGGTTTTATCTTTCTGTTGCTGTGTTGGGTGTTGTTCCCCCCCCCCCCCCCCCCCTTGCCCCTGACAGTTGCTCTCCAGAGTGGAAAATATTACACAAAAGGGGTATTTTCCTTTTTAAACTGTGGAACTTTCTCTCCCTCCTGCCCCTCCTCCCATTTCTTTTTTTTTTTTTTTTTTTTCCCCGGAATGTAAAAATAGTTCTAATGGGATATGGGGAAAAGGTGGTTGGCAACAGACATACAGTGTCAGGTTTGGTTGCTTCAATGCTATTGCAATATAGTTACTATGGATTACATAAAAATGGTTTATTTTATTAGCTTCCAAATAATGTAGATATAGATTTGTTAATGGCTTACAAGTCAAGCTTACTTTCTTTGCTTTTTAAAAAATAGTTATAGGCATGTTGTATTTGCCTTGTGTAAATTATAAAAGGCTATTTATTAAGTTTTCTGATAACTAATCTATTTATTAACCTGTACTGTTTTAAAATAAACAATTTATTTCTAGCTCAATGCTTGTTTTGTGACTCCTCTTTATCACAATGGGGGGCAGGGGGGAGATCAGTTTCCCACGCACCTAGCTGCTGTACAGCCTAACCTCAAATCATTAGCCTGAAATATTGCTATTGCCCTTTCATAAAATTGCAGCCTTGTTTTTATGTGGTGGTAGATTCTTTCATGGGTACAGATAAATTACCACATGAAGGGCTCAACTGTTGCATAGTGGTGTCTGCCAGCAAGCTGTAGTCTTAATGTCTTCAATGTACTGACATTTACTCACAGGTCAAATGAATGCTTCTCTGGAATTAACATTTGTTGGGGCCCAAGTCACTTCAAACTGTGTCCTAAGGGTTATCACATGCTCTGCTCCTGCACTGATGGACATTGGC